CTGGCGTCACTAGGAAATGTCCTTTGTAATTGGCAGGAGCTAACGATGGAGTTCGACTGGCAAGGACAACGACGAAAGCTCGTCGGCCTGGCACCTCGGGTGCAGGCTGCGGAATCTTTCGAAAGCCTCGTCAAAGACATGCGGCAAGGGTCCCTCACAGCCCTTTGTGTTCCCGTGAACCATGAAGTACCACTCCAACAAATTCCAGAGGAATTTCGGGATATCATCCGCGAGTTTGAAGATCTATTCGAGGAACCAACGACTCTGCCACCTCATCGAGCCATCACCCATCGAATTCAGCTTAAGGAAGGTACGGAGGCAGTAAACGTTCGTCCATATCGGTACGCCTACTTTCAAAAGTAAGAGATTGAGGCTCAGGTTAATAAAATGTTACATGATGGTCTCATTCGTTCGAGCACGAGTCCATTTTCATCACCCGTACTATTGGTGAAGAAGAAGGACGAGACTTGGAGGTTTTGTACCGATTATCGATCCCTGAATGCAGCAACGATAAAAGATCGGTTTCCAATCCCAACTGTGGAGGACATGCTGGACGAATTGCACGGAGCTTCGTACTTCACGAAGCTCGACCTACGAGCTGGCTATCATCAAGTAAGGATGCATACGGAAGACGTGGCCAAAACAGCATTTCGAACCCACAATGGCCATTACGAGTATCTCATTATGCCATTTGGGCTATGCAATGCCCCGTCTACGTTTCAAGCATTGATGAACGAGGTATTCCGTCCCCATCTACGCAAATTTGTTCTCGTATTCTTCGACGATATCTTGGTATATAGTAAGGATCAGGATACCCACTTGGAGCATCTACGTCAGGTATTTCTCATACTTCGACAACACAAATTCTTTGTGAAATTCTCCAAGTGTGCCATCTGCTTACATGAGCTAGAATATTTGGGGCACATTATTACCGCTGGGGGTGTCAAAGTCGACCCTGCCAAGATTGAAGCCATGGTACGATGGCCACAACCCACCAATGTGACCAAACTAAGGGGATTCCTAGGCCTTACGGGATACTATCGCAAATTTGTTCTTAATTATGGACTGATTGCTAGGCCATTAACCCACTTGCTAAAAAGGGGTCAATTCGCATGGACTTCGGAAGCTACGACAGCCTTCGAAGCTCGAAAGTCGGCAATGACGTCCACCCCGACACTAGCCATGCCAGATTTTTCCAAACCGTTCGTTATTGAGACTGATGCTTCCGGGCAAGGGTTGGGTGCGGTCTTAATGCAAGAAGAACGACCCCTTATTGATGAGCAAAGACTTGGGCGCTAAAAATTTGGGCTTGTCGGCGTACGCGAAGGAAATGACGGCCATAACTGCGGCCATTAAACTTTGGCGGCCCTATCTCCTTGGCCGTAAGTTTTTTATACGAACGGACCAAAGAAGTTTGCGATTCCTCCTAGAGCAACGGATCACAACGCCGGGACAACAAAAGTGGGTCAGCAAACTCCTAGGCTATGATTATGAAATCATTTACAAACCTGGGCGAGAGAACCAAGCTGCAGATGCACTCTCCCGTCGACCTGTACCGCCAGAGGACACCCGTGATAAGCTTCCACCAGCTTTGGGCTTCACACTAGTAAGCTCGGACAACTTGGAAATTGGGCCGGAAGAGCAATTGGACCCAAATGATTCAACCCACACCTTGCTTATCCTTCATCCTAACGAGACATACACTCTTTCCGCAGCTGCCGTAGGGGATAATGATGGAATTTCTGGGAATTCTCCACAGGATAATTCACAAGTCACCCTAGATAATTCATGGGCCATATCCTACCCATTTACGAACCTAGGGGAGGCTCTACAAAAAGCTGTCGTCGAGGACCCCTATGTACAAGAAATCATCGCAAAAGCCCACTCTCAAAATCCCGTGCGCTACACAGTGAAAGGAGGCATGGCTCTTTATGACGATCGAGTGGTCCTCTCCCCAGACTCACCATTGGTGACACAGCTGCTGAAGGAATACCATGTCACGCCTACCGGCGGGCACTCCGGAGTTCGACGGACCTACAAGCGTCTCGCTTCTCAGTTTTTCTGGCCGCACATGTTGGAGTCGGTGAAAAGATTTGTTGGCAGCTGCAATGTATGTCAACAGGCCAAATCCCTATCGCTGGCACCTGCAGGGCTTCTAGAGCCGCTGTCCATCCCAAAACTTATATGGGAGGAGCTTTCGATGGACTTCATTGACGGCTTACCTTCATCGGCGGGAAAGACAGTCATTTTGGTCGTTATTGACCGTTTGTCCAAAGCGGCCCACTTCATTGGAATGTCTCACCCCTATTCGGCAAAGTCGGTTGCCGACGCCTTCATCAATGGAGTTGTCAAGCTTCACGGAATCCCTCGATCGATTGTAAGTGATCGTGATCCCGTCTTTGTGAGTAACTTTTGGCGGGAGCTTTTCAGGTTATCGGGAACCACACTGGCCATGTCATCATCATACCATCCACAAACAGATGGGCAAACCGAGGTAGTGAATCGAAGCCTCGAGCAATACCTCCGATGCTTCACCCACCAACAGCCCCGTCGTTGGATGACTTACCTGCCATGGGCTGAGTTTTGGTACAACACGACGTACCATCATTCAATAGGAACTACACCATTTCAAGCAGTTTACGGTCGATTGCCTCCAACAATTCCTTTCTACACCAAGGACGGGACTGCCGTCCAGGCCGTGGATCACGCACTGCCGACCGCAATGAGGTGATACAAGACCTGAAGATCAATCTCCAAAACACCCAGACTCGCATGAAACAGCAGGCGGATGCCGGCCGTAGGGAAGAGACGTTCGAGGTGGGAGATATGGTGTATCTGCGCCTGCACCCATATCGTCAGCACTCCGTTTATCGACATGCTTCACAGAAGCTGGCTGCGAGATACGATGGTCCCTACCGCGTCACCGAACGCATCGGGCAAGTGGCTTATCGTGTTGGGCTACCCGCTGGCTCTCGAGTCCACCCGGTCTTTCACGTCTCGCTTCTCCGTCGTTGCACTACACCCGATGCTCCAATCAATACGACCATTCCACCAGTTGCTGATGATGGCTCCCTCGAGCTCGTCCCCGAGTCCATCCTCAACACTCGCTGGCTGCGTCACGGCAATAAATTCATTGAAGAATCGTTGGTGAAATGGGGAGGCCTACCGAAGGAAGACGCCACCTAGGAAGTTACCTCCGAGCTGTTTGATCGCTTTGATGAAGCGAGCCTTGGGGACAAGGCAATTCTTCCTGACGGGGGCAATGATGGGCCAAAGGGACGTAGGGCCCCATGCAATGGCCATGCAGAAAGTGTTGGCCCAAAACGTGGCTAAAGGAAGGCCCTGCAAGTTTCGTAGCTGCTGCCGACGTAGTGATAGGATTTCCAAGATTTTGTTTGTTTTCAGGATTTGGTTTGTTCAGTTTGTTTTCGTAGTCGGCAGGATCTTTTCTTATGAGATTAGGCGTAGGGAGATCAACTTAGGTGATTCTCCAAATCGTAGGAGATCAGAGACTCAATCTTGTGAGCTCGATCGTTAGGAATTTCTCCTCTATATAAAGAGGAATGAACTCAATAAGAAGGCAGCAGATTATTAAGGAAAATATCGTAGTACCAAACTGGCCGGTTCTCGCCGTAAGAAGAACGCCATTACACCTTTGATTACCAAATTCCAACAATATAAAGACCGGTAATGGGGAGAAAGAACAACAGCTAAATATTGTTCATAGTTTGGACGAGGTGAATTATACTCCAATGAAAAAGATGACTGGTATTTGTAAATATATTTAACAATCACAATTTTGTGCTCAATAAAATGTCGGAAAACAAGGAAGAGATAACTGAAATGCTAGAGAAGAAGGAAGATTTCATTGACATTGGAGATAAATGCGTCGCTAATGGAAATGAAGGCATTATTAATATCGATGAGGCAAAAAAGAAAACGTGCAGTAGTCTCTGAATTAGACGGGTCATTTTAGTTGATCTTTAGGAGTCGGTTCCCTTGCATGGAGTTTTCTTTCATTTTCATAAAATGATTTTAGTCGATTAGTTATTAAAATGTTGGAAAACAGTATGATGTTGCTTCTTTCGAATTGTTGAACAATTTTAATAATTTGGATCTCTTATTCTCCCAATCGATTTGAATGCTTTCAGTATTTAAAGAACTTAGTCTTTCTTATACTAATGCGTAACTCGAATATATATTGCTATTATTACTTACGTGATTGATAACTGATACCGGCCAACTGGCCGGGCCCATGACTAGTTGTTAAATGTTAATAGAAACAGATCTTGATTGCATCGTACGATCACCTAAGGGAAGGGAATGAGTTGTGTTGCTGGACATCTTTTTTGGTTGAATGTGTTGCTGGACAAGAAGATCTCGCTTAACAGCACCTGTAATTTGATTGAGAAGTGAGAACTATAATTCCCGATTAAAATACAGATTATATGTGATACAAAGAGTTCTACTATCACTATGTGAACCGTACGAAAACTAAGTTTGGAGTCGTTCGGATAATAGCATTGAAAGTATATAATTTTAACATAAAATATGGAATTGAAAAAGACAGATAAGGGGCTTCTCAAATTTCTATTTCTTACAAACGTGACATTTGATGAATTGTCACACCTTAACTAACATAATTTTTTACACAAGTCAAATTTTCTGAGTTCTCTAAATCTCATAAATGTGGCAATTTATTAACGTCACATGTCATTATTTTTTATAAATATCACATTTGGTCACTGAGATTACTAAATCGTGTTTACTAGAAAAATTTAATATCAATTTTGGTCACTCGAATTACTGAAACATGTCACATTTGGTCACTCTCATGTATAGAGTTGGACGGAAATTAACGGAAGAATGACTAAATGTAACCAGTTTGGTCACTCTCCTGTATAGAGACGAAAACTAACGGGAGAGTGACTAAATGTACCCATTATTTTTTCCGAAAGCTTTTTAGCGAAATGAAAATTTGTAGCTAAATCCAAACCAAATAAGAAATTTAACGTGTGAGACTACACTTGGACTTTATAAATACTCAAACGATCAATCAGTAACTCAGCAAGTAAATGGTTCACAAAAGCTAGCCACCAAGCTTTTGTAATGGCACATATAAATAACAGTGTAAATCTATGGCACCATTCACAATCATAGTAACATAACAACGTGAAAAGAACACATTCTACCCATCTGGAAAGACTCGGATTCAAAGTTCAAACAACACACAAAGCTCAATCAAAAGTACTTCTTTGCTTTCACCACAAAAACGCAGCTCCATGACCGGCAAATCTTTGCATGTCATACGAACATCACCTTGCTGTTCTGTCCGACAGCCTTATCGTCGGAAGATTAGCACACATAGTTCGGCACCTAATGACTTCTCCAATCATACATTTCCAGACACGGAGCTGTCAATCAAAGTTGGCATTCAAGAATTTCAGTAATTCATTTCTTTTGTTCTCTGCCTCTTTGTCCTCTCTTGACTTCTCCACCTTCAACAGTATCTGAAAGCAGATGCGCAAGTGAATGTTTTGAAGATCCAAAGATCACCCATTAGTTCGTTTAGAGCGTCAATGGCAGCCTTACCTTTTTCCCCGAAACAGCACTTCGACGCACACCGTCATCTTTGTCACGTCCTAAAAACTGCATGGAAGGTACAGATGGAAGGGAAGGGTTTAGGGCATGCAAATGAATGGGCAAGATCAATTGTTAACATTGTAGATAATCCGAGTGGAGTCAACCAACCTTAGAAAGTTGGACCGGACTGCTCTTTCTCTCTTCCCGTGCCTTCTATTGATATCTCCCATTGCCATGACAAACCAACCCCCGAGCCAAATACAAGAAACCCAAGGCAAAGCAAAACCAAAGTTGCCCAGACATCATGTCACATACCCCAGCTCCAATGTTCGAAGAGCCACATACACAGGCAGAAACGTATCATAAGTATCTCAGACTTCAAGCATATACATATCTAGCGAATTGTCTCGCACAGCAAAAAATTAATAGAGACTGACTGAACTAACATATCATATGAAGCAATCGGTGGCTACCTCTTTCGCCTTTAGCTTCTGACGCTTATGACGATGATTCTTACTTCTATCCTTGTCCTTGCTCTAGCAGAGATGGGGAGAAAGAAAAAGGTAATAAGACCAACCAACTTTGAACCAGACAACCATAATAGAAACTAGAGGATCATCAGTTGTGTCATCACCTTCTTCGACCTATCGCTTTTCTTAGGCCTCTTTGAATGGTTAGATGTTTCAGGCTCACTATCGGATGAGCTCTCACTTCTGCAAGTAATTCAGAAAAAGAAACAACGCATTTAGCAGATCATGACCATTAATCGCCCCTACTCAGATAATCACCAAAGAACCGGAACAACCTCTTAACTTCTGATAACATTTGAGTTACAAGAACCCTTTTGCATACCAATCAAAAAACAATGGAGTTCAATATAGGGTCGAACCAATACAATCAATTGGTCAGAAAGCAGCTAATCTAGTACGCACAATCCACAAGCGGGTCACTCTATTCTATCAGAGTACTCAATTTGTGCAAGTAGTAGACAATCCAGAACAAAAATTGGCTACCAGAAAGATCTAATCGGTTCTCAAATTGTCTAGGCCTAGAGCGAAAAAATAGCAATCAACACGACCATAGGCGAAATAAGGAACAAAGATGTGCGGCAGATTGAAACCTGGAGTATGAATCAGAAGAAGAAGACTCGTAGGAATCGGAGGAGGATGAGGAGCGGTGGTGCCGGCGGCGACGCTTGGGATGGGATTTTTTGTCCTTTCCCTTCTTACGAACCTTGAGAGACTCTCTGTCCCTGTCGCGTCGGCTGCGGTGGTGGCGGCGACGGCTGCGGGAGGCCGAGGAGTCGGAGGAATCGGACGTTTCCGACGACGAAGAGGCCGCCATGATCCCGGGGAGAGTGAGCGCACGAATAGGGTTTGGTTGAGATTTGCAAATTTGGGGGATTTGGCGAACTTTCTAATTGCGTATTGGGCTTTGGCGGGTTCTAGTAAGAACTCGCGACTCTAAGCGCCGCCTTTAGGCCCAATGTGCCGGCCCAGTAGGGTAGATTTGGAGTCGCCACCAAACCGACTGCGGTCCGCGGAGCTTTTTAATTTTAATACACAATGTTGTGGCTTCGAAATGGGCTGCTCAGTTTTTATTTTAAATAAAATTGCTACTGAAATTTGAAATCATTTAGTATAATAGAAATTTTCTTCATTTCTTTAAAATATTAAGAATTTTTTATTTTTAGATCAATGCATAAATTCGTCCAAATTAGTAATTAAAAGATGTGGTATACTATATACCATTTATTCATGCCAGAATAATATTAGAAACATATATTTCGTCTGAGAAATATGATACATGGTAATATATATAATTAAGGATAGACAATGATTCGATGCACAATGTTACGGTTATAAATTGAAAAGAATATGAGCAGACCAAAATTGAGGTGAATAGGCTAATTTTCAGTTAATCCTTACATTTAACTTTTCGATTCGGTCCCCTCCCAATCCCAACTCCACCCGGCACCCGGTTCTGAATGGACTGACCCATGGTGATATGAACAAACCAAGACTATAGGATGGTTGAATACATGATAGTAGAAGTATATTAACTGTCATTTACGATTTTAACATTGTGTACCACAAGATACCACCTCGTACAAGGGTGGTATTGGATGGTATTGTGTGGTATTTTTTGGTCCTGTAATTTATTCACCCAGAAATTTGTAGATCCAATAGATCATGATGAACTCGTCCCTTCTGTGCAAGCGTTTTCAAAAACTAATTAAAAACGAAGAAAATACCATATGGTATGCAGTTGGTACCGAGAGGCCATAATTTTTTTCTCAAAAAATATTGAAAATTGATCTCATTTTGTAGAGCACGATGAACTCGTTCCATCTGTGCAAAAAAAATTAAAATCCGAGTTAAAACGAAAAAGATATGAGTTGATTAAGAAAATTAAGGAAAATAAAAATGACCTTTAATTCTCCATCCTTAGATCTGGATTTTCTAAATGAAGGGTCCAGATTTGGTTATTAATGGATGGTTATGCACCCTATTTTAAATCAATTTGTATATAGTCAACCTGGGGAAAAAAAGAAAATTGCTTTCCTGCTAGGAGGGGAGTGATGGGTGGCAAATTGGCGAAACCTCTCTATTATGGGTTCTATTTTGCACATGGCCGCGTCATTTCATTACCTTAACCATTTGTTAATCTATATCGTTATCCTATCCTAATCCTAACAACATAATAAGGAGATTCCAGCCCGCAGCACCATTAATTCCTGTTTTCCTGCGCTCTGCGCAGTTCACGGGAGGTCAAATTGGTAAAATGGCTCCGTTTTCATTCGATTGAGATGGGCCGCCGATAGAAAATATATGGGCCCTCCCTCAAAGCCCAATCCTGTCGCGCCTGCAAACTTGAATGCCCTCATCGGGCCAGATTGGGCTGCTGCCGCCGCCTTCCCAAACGAACCCCAACTTCCACCCGCCGCCTGCCCAAACAACATCGTCACCTGCCCAAACGAACCACAACTTCCACCCGCCGCCTGCCCAAACAACATCGCCTTTAATTAATGTGAGCCCTTAATTCCACATGAGAGCCGTTAAAGAATTATATTTTTCTTCTAGGAACTCTTCTTACCTAGCATCCAATTTTTCCTAGCCAGGTAGACTTCATTTAAATTGTGTTACACGTATCTAAATTATATATATATATCCAGTACAAACTTGCTTAATAGGTTATTTCACATGCCTTAAAATTTTCAATAGATATTGATGTCTCACTATCAAGCACTATTAATAAAATACATTTAAAAACCTACTTATTAGATTTTACATTAAAAAGTGAATGTAAGTACAAATATTTTATTAGCATAATTATATACATCTTACAATTCAATTTGTGTACAGGTCATGTGTTGTTCAGGATAAAAAAATGTAATTTTTATACACTAGAATGTGTGGTGGATTCTAATCAATATCTATCTAAAGTGCAGAAAAATTTCCTTATGGTATAAATATCAATAAATAATCAATTGATCATAATCATTCTAACTATTTCGCACGGTTTGATCTTATAAAACTACCACTATCCATTTTACATTTTTAAAAATTGATGCAAATAAGTCCAGAGTTTAAGAGAATTAATCACCCATTGACCAAATTAGCAAGAAGGAAACATGCTCTTTATATAAGGTAAAAGCATATATATCGAAAAAAAATTGTCAATATTCCTACGACAATCCATTATTTTCATGTTTATTTTTTTATATGTTATAAAATTATGTGTTAGATGCTAGGAATGCTTATTTTAATGATTCTTATACCTGACATCAAAATAAGATGAATAACTTACAAACGAAGAGAAATAGATTGTTGAGATCCACCAAACTTGATAAAATTCATTATAACCGACTTTGGGTGATTCGATATGGAGACTTTTCAGGTTTATGAATATTTTAATATGCTATTGCAAGCAAACACTTCAACGGAACATCACTTTTTGGAACATTTCTGAGATTATAAAGGGGTGTACGCTTTAAAGTCTATTGGAGGTAAACTTGAGTGATCTATAAATAATAGACAATGAGTATATGTTTATTCGATTGGAAGTCAAGTATATTATCGTTTTAGTAGGTTGGTACCTACTTAAAAGAACATACCAAAATTTACTCTACTTCTATGACACTGCAATGAACCCCAAAACATGTTAGATTTTTTCTCTCCATAGATCCAGCTTCAAATCCTTTGCTCGATTCAATTATTCAACAATTGCAGGAGATGTTAGATTTAAATAATATCCTACAAAAGACATTTCGATATGCAAGGGATAGACAGAATGACACCACTGTTCAACAAGTTGAAATTAAGTTGCTTGCTAAAAGATATGGGGATGGTAGAGAATATGATTTGCCATCTGAAAATGAGGTCGCTGCTTTAATTGTTGATGATAATGGAGAGCAAACATTTTCTTCTTATATTGTTGTGCATTATCAAAGTAATGAACTCGAACTAATTAGTATATATCATCCAAGTTTAATGGCTTTGCAATATCTCAAATTATTACCACATGGCAAGGATGATTGACATCCAAATATTCCATATTATGGCATTGAGGATGCAAATAGATACAATGAGAAGAATGTGACCCAATGTGATTTTTACAGTTATAGACTCCGACAAGACTGGAAGAATCAAACGCATTGCTATTGTGTGTAAAGTTGTTCCAACAATATGTTGTCAATGCATATGCATTGGTTGAGGCAGAGCGTTTGGGTTAGATTAAAAAAATCAAACAAATTCGCGACAACATTACGATCAAGGTCTTTTGGATTCTTACTTGAGAGATGCTTCAGATACCAGTTTAAGTGGAAAACGTGTGATTTTAGCTTCATCACATACATATAGTCCTCTATATAAATATTAATGCTTCCAGAATGCTATGACAATTCGTAGATATCCATATCATTTCATTACATTTACATGTAATCATGTTTGGCCTGAGATTCAATGCATGCTTGATTTGATAAAGACTACTACTAGAAATATCCTAATAGAGTTTATGTCCTCACACGATTTTTCAAATCGAAGCTACATCATTTCTTGAAGTAGATTTTGGAGAAGAAAATTTTTGGGGAAAATATGCAAGTAAGTTATTTTTGCTTTGAGCCTGGCCTATTGGACGGGTGATGATTTTTGTGTTCTAATAGTTTATATGTGTCTAATGATAATATTTTTGAAACATATGATATTGTTGTATATGAATATGATAGTTGTACAAAATTAAATGCTATAGATATAATTTAGAAGCTCTTTAGTGTATGAATGTGACCAGTGATTTACAATGGCGCATGAGTCGGTCGTATGGTGATATGTATTTGAATGATATTGGTATAATTTAGTATTCTATTGAATAGGAACGTGATACATGAACAAGTGGTGATGGTCATTTTTTTATTTTTTTTATTTCAACATATATCAAAATGGATATCATTATATAGATCACATAAAATCTAATATTTATACGCAAAAATATCTAAATTTAGATTTAAAAAGAAACAAATACAGATTGATTAAGTATAGTAGGGGAATTCAAAAAGAAGAGAAAGTGTGTGCTAGGTGGTATACACTTTAAGAGTTAATAATATTTTTTTATTGCTCGTCAGTGACTGATGGTGACGTGACTGCGTAAAAACTCTTGAAATTTGAATCCATGAGATTGTAAATTGGAAAATTCTTATTATATTATATTATATAAATATAAATATAAATATACACATAGATATTGATTCAATAATTTTACTTTAAGCATTCATAGTTCATTTTTTTTCCTAATTATTATTTTACCGTTTTAATTATTATGATAATTTTTATTGCATCTGTAATGACCATTGAATTGAAAAAATGCCTACCTCATGCTCATTTATTAGTTTCCCTTGGTGCAGAAGATAAATTATATAGTCCTTCATAAATAGATTTAGTTATATTCTCTGAAATCTCATATCGTAAAGCAGATCTTGAATGTTATGATGCAGTTGCAAAAGTACGTTTCATGGTCCATGTGATTTTTAAGGATCTAAAGCTCCATGTACAACTAATGGTGCATCTCTCTAAATATTTATCGAAGGAAATCTGCAGCCAAACAACCATTGATGGGAATGGTTTTGCTAGATATCCACGCTGAGAGAACAACAAATCGTATATGGTGAATGGAGTCTCACTAGATAATCGATTTGGTGCTGCTTATAATAGATACCTATTGTTGCAATTTCATGCACGCATCAAAGTCATGTTTTGCAACAAATCAAGGTTAGTTATTCATCTCTTGAATTTTTAATATCCTCATTAAATTACTCTTATATATACTATTAAAATTACTGTGCTCTCCTATAAGATTTTTTTTGAAACTCTTCTGTAAGATTAAATTGAATGATTATAGAAAGGACTCTTTTGCCTTTTCAAATTAAATATTTTTAATAATAATAAAAAATTCCTGCATTAAAAATAAAAGCACGAGCTTTTTGGACTCTTTGTTAAGTACGAACCCAGAAAATAAAATCTTCGAATTTTGTTAGATTATTTCCAATTTTTTTTAATA